AGCAGTTGCGCGCGTAGGCTATATATTTCCTACAGGCTATCATCGCCGCCTGGACCTCCGACCCCCTTCACATCAAAAGGCCAGCCCGAGTGTACCTCCTCGGTGTCTCGTCGATGGCGGCGATGGTCGCTGCTTTCAATTACCTTAGGACATATCTCAGGTATGGGGTGGAGATTGGACGAGAGGAAGGAGGAGGGAGGGACGAAAAGTGGGCGGAAGAGAATGGGGCTAGCACTCATAGCAATGTATCTTTATCACCTTGGCAGTGTCCTCGCCGGGGTGCGCGCCTCGGATTACCTCCATCACCGCGCATTGCAAAAAGGTACATCGCTCTCCTCCCGCCCTCTTTGCCTCCCTTCCTGCCCTGTTTTTCAATTACTTCCTTTCCCCATCACTCAATTACTCATTCGCTCCGCGGTTTGCCCTCCCCTCAAGTGCTCGGAGCCCCTATGCGCTATTTTGACACCACTCCCTTAGGTTCCCTGGTGCAGCGCTTCTCCTCGGATCTGGATCAAGGTCAGAACCACCTTGCCTCCCGTCTGCCGTCTTTCCCTCTCTCTCCCTCTCCCTCCCCCTCCTCGTTGGGTGGGGCTCGGCTTCCATCGCTTGGCGTCTGTCTCCCTCTTTCCTCTTCCTTGTCAATGAGGCGCCTGGCAGTACGCACGCACCGCTCATACTTTACCCCCTCCCTCTCCCTCTCCTCCCGGGGTCCATCCCTCAGTGGACCAGCAACTCCCGGGTACCCTAGGGATGTTCATCACCTGTGTCTTTCAGCTCGTGGGCACGCTGGGCGCCATCCTTGCTGCCACGCCACAATTCTCCGTAGCCCTCTTTCCAATCTCTTGGGTACCGCCCTCCGACCTCCCCTTTCTACCTCCCTATTGCGCTTCTCGCATTTCTATGTGGCTCAACACAGACTCGGCGACCTCATGAACCTTACTCGTCCTTGCTTTCTCCTTTTCCCCTCCCTCATTCCTTCGTAGATTTACCTCTCGGTCATGAATTATTTCCGAGCCGTCACCCGAGAGCTGAAACGACTAGACTCGCTTTCTCGTTCTCCCATCTACAGTCATTTCAGCGAGACGCTGGTGAGGATAGAGGAGGGAATAAAGACAGGCTAGGAGGGAGAGGGGAAGGAGATGAGGAAAGGGATAAGGCTTGCGCAGGAAGGGTGTGATGAATGCGGATTGACGATCCAGTTAAACGCTAGGGTAATGCTAATGCTGATCCCCCTTGCCGCTCAAACAGGGAGGACTGTCCGTCATTCGCGCGTTTCGCAAGGAGAAGGCCTTCATTAAGGCCAATGAAGCAAAAGTGAGCTCTGTCTTTCCCTCCCTTCCATCCTTCCTCCCCACCCTCTTCCATTGACTCCCATGGCCGTCTCACTTCTCCCTCCTTTTTTTACCTTCCCTCTCCCCTTTCTCCCTTTTCTTGGCCTCCCTCCCCATCCCCATCATTTTAATCCGATCCATTCCTCCCAACCTGTCCCTGTCCCCCTTCCCGACAGGTGGATGACAATGTCCGCGCATACATCTCTCTGAAAGCAGCTGATCGCTGGCTTTCTGTCAGATTGGAGTTATTGGGGGCGGGAGTTGTGGGTATTGGGGCTGTTTTGTCCGTACACGGCACCGCAATGGGACACTTAGGTATGCCGCTGCCATCCCTCCCCGCTTTTGCCTTTCTTTCCCTTTCGCTTTCACCTTTCTTTTTTCCCCTTACGTTATCTAGATGCTTTTTGTCGACCTCCGATTCGTTTTTGATTCACATAGGTTTTGTTTTTAACAATTTCTGATGCCTGTCACCACATCTTATCGCCACCACGTTTTTCCCTCGCTTCGCCCCTTTCCTCAGGTGCGGGCCTTGCCGGTCTGGCCCTCACGAACGCTCTAGGCGTGACCGGGCTTCTTAATTGGGCAGTGCGGTGCTTGGCAGAGACGGAAGCCATCATGAACTCTGTGGAGCGAGTCCAGCAACTTGTTGAGAGCGTGCCTGCAGAGGCACCTGCGCATTTGAAGTAAGTGATTATCTTACGTTTATTTCTCCCCCTGCCTTCTTTCTTTCCCACCTTTCTTCCTTCTGTTCCATATTTCTCCCTACTCTGTTCCCCCTTTGTCTCAATAGCCATTTAGGAGGTGTCATGATGTGCCCTTCTTGCTCCTTTCCTCACGAGGAGCCGACCTTCCCGCACGCTGGCTCACCCCCCTGCTCACCACCCCCATTTTCCACAGCGCTCTTTCACACGCCCACGATCTGTCTGCTTTGGACGCCTTGCATCGAAACATTTCCTCCGGTGGCACGACCGGCGCTGGGATGGTCACACGGCCGGTCAGGGACTTGCAGGATGACGCGAGTCTGGGTAAGGCGCCCCTCGCTTACTTTTACTCTACCTCCCAATCTCTCTCTTCCCTTTTGTAGTCCTCTTGCTTCCTCTTGCCTCTATTTTTGCGCCTTTCTTGGCATGGTAGCAAACTTAGATGGTAGCCTTTACCTTCGCTCTTTATCCTGTCTTGTTCTACCCATCTCTCTTCCCGTCCGTCCCCTTCGACTCTATTGACGGACACCAAAGCGTCTTTTCCACCCACACTGTATTGATAAAGCAACTTTTGATAGTTCTTCTCTCCCTTTTCTTGTTTTCGTTCGATTCGCCCCCCCTTCCTATTCCCAGTGGCCTCTGGCTGGCCTTGGAAGGGTGGTATCTACTTCCGACGAGCCGTCATGCGCTACCGTGAAGACACCAGCCCCATTCTCCAAGGTTTCACAGCCGCCATACGACCCAAGGTTAGCCACTTTCTCCCTATGCTCGTCTCTTATTCCTTTTCCCCTTTTCCTTTGTGTGGGTGCCGAAGGAATGACTCGCTTCAGGAAGGATAGAGGGGAGTAGAAGGGACCAGGTGGCGGTGGAAGCGTAGCGTTAGGAATGAAGAAGGTCATAGGAAATGTACGCGACGGAGAGACAAGTAGAGCATGCAAGGACAAAGTTCAAGATGGAGCGTTTATGTCATGCGTGGCAAAATGTTGGTCATGGCGCACCAAAGCCTCTGCCCCTTCCATTAATCTTCCCTCCCTTTCTCCTCAATTCAGGAAAAAATCGGGATAGTGGGCCGAACGGGTGCCGGGAAGTCCTCGCTCTTCGTCGGGCTCCTACGTTTGGTGGAGTTGGAAGGGGGCAGTATCGAGATCGACGGCGTGGACATCTCCAAAGTGGGCCTGGCAACCTTGCGAAGCGCTGTCTCAGTGATTCCACAGGTGCAGGAGGGAGGAAAAAGGGGATGGTTGATGTGACAGAGAGGTGAGAGCGGAATGTCACATAGAAGTGTAATTTGTTTTCAAAATATCTCTATCCTCAGGACCCTGTTCTCTTCTCGGGGAGCATTCGGAGCAACCTGGATCCGTTCCAGACTTACGACGACGGTACGTCCCCCCGTTCGCTTGCCCCTCTAGCGTCTTTCAGATTCCCCCGTTTCCTGCCTTTCTCCGCTAAACATTCCGTCCCAATACCTCTGCCTTTCAATATCAGCCACCCTCTGGTCCGCGCTCCGCAAGGCGTCTTTGGAAGCCGCTTTCCGCACGTCACCACTGGGTCTAGATCAACCCGTGTCCGAGTACGGCGAGAACCTCTCCTCAGGACAGCGGCAGCTTTTGTGCCTGGCACGAGCCTTGCTGCGAAAGCCCCGTATATTGTTGCTTGATGAAGCCACGTCCAGGTGTGTGTTGTGCTTGCTGGGTTGGGAGTACGGGGGAGCGAGGGGTCCACCCGCCTGCGAGAAAGTTCGCCTCTGCGAATCGGGTCACGCGGTCCCTCTTCCTCTCTCTTGCTCTGGCATTTGATTATGTTAAGTGGACTTAATGTTGAGATGAGAGACTTCTTACGTATTGTTTTCTGTGCACCCTTTTCGGCGATGCCTATCATGTCGAAACATTGCACACCACACGTCTATGTGTACAAAAGTGCTTATAAGAGTACGAAAGCGCTTTGATCCCTCTTTTTCTTACTCTTTGTCCCCTTCCCTCCTATTCCCGTAGTGTGGATCAAGCTACTGACCAGCTCATCCAGGAAACCATTCGACGCGAGTTTTTGGACTGCACTGTGTTGACGATTGCACACAGGTGAGATGGGAGGGAGCAGGAGGACGAGAGAAGATGGATGAAATGAGGGCCGAAATGAGGGCCGGAAGGAGAGACAAAGGGAGGTGATAGTTTGGCCGAGGAGGGAGAAAATTGAAAGTTCAACTTCGTGCGAGCGAAATGAGAGGATAAGCAAAGATATCATGGAAGCAGTTGCGCGCGTAGGCTATATAAATTTAATTAACCTATGCACTTCCCTTCCTGGCGCTGTCTCTTGTACGCCAGATTGGAAACCGTTTTGGATTCGGATCGAATTCTGGTAATGCAGAACGGACGTCTGGTCGAGTTCGACAGGCCTCAGACCCTTCTTGGACGGAGAAACTCCCTCTTCACGGCACTCGTGCGTGGGGCAGAGTTGGAGGGTGGGGCCGAGGGAGGACAAGGGTCAAGCGTGTCAGCGCCTGTCTCCACGATGCCACTGCCAAAAGCAATACCCACGCCGGCGGCAGCATGAGTCGAGGCTTGATTTTGTTATCGGTGGGATAAAATGTACAGTTGCAGGAAAAAGTGCGGGGTGGACGATAAAGCAGGGGCTACAGGTAGGAAGACTCTGGCAGGATCATAGACGGTGTATCTTGGCATGGGAGGTATGGAAATGAGATAATTGTACTGCAACAACCTAGGATATGCAGTACGCGTACGCTGTGAAGCAATGGATGAGGTGGGTGCACTGAAGGGACCTGTTCCCGTGAAGTTTCTTTATTAAATGAGACAGGGTCGTACTGACGCCACCGCGATTCTCCGCTTACGGGAAGACAGAGGAACACCGAGGGCTCATTATGTATTACTCATAAAGGAAATAAGGAAAGACAGAAGGTTGTCGGGAGGTATCGTGAGCTAAGGATATACTTCTTTCTTTGTTTGTGCCCCTCACAAGGGTGTGAGCTTCAAGATATTTGTCACCAAAGCTAAGAATAACATTATTTCTTTGGGTGTATCTCGAAAAACAATACAATCTCTTCGAATCTATCGTTTTGATCCTCAGTCCTTTGTAGTATCATGCGTAAAATCAATTCACTCTTTGGCCTCAAGCTAGAATTATACCCATCCCGAGTCAATTCGCCTTTTTTCTAGGTCAGCTATAGCGACGTGTCACTGCACAAAGTTATGCATATATACCATTACACACAAGCAAGCCAAAGAAAAGCAACCTTTATCTGCCATTCGCTTACGTCATGCTAACATGGGCACCGGACACGGTTCAACCATCCCCATCTCCTCCCGGTGGTAGATCAGGATCAATAAAGCGCGAAAATTATCATCACGCAGTCAAAGATCCGTCACTCCATAGAATCTTGCATTCACTTACGGATGCACATAATTTTCCTATAAAATGAGCTGTCTTACGCAACAATGCCTCGACCCCTCGCCATAGCCGTAGAGGAGAAAATGATTTCGCGTAAGTTTGAACAAATATCTCCCGAAAACAGCGACATTCTTCACAAGGAAAGTTCTTGGAATTATATCAACGGTTAAAAAAGGTCATTCATGCGCTGACTCGACAAGATATGGGCTGTTGCCTTCCAGAAAGTTCACAACGTCCGTATATCTAATGCGGCAGGCAAGCTCCTGAGTTTTCAGGACAATGTCTCATTATTTCGTGTGATATACTGATTAGAGCGACCATTGGTCACCATCGGTAAAGCGAGCTCGCCTATATCGGACTTTTGCTTAATTGCAAAAACCTCCGTCTTATTCACCCTTTCATTGCATTTTAAAGCATTTGTATCTCACACATTCCTACACTTCTTGCCATATCTGTAGAGATTACGCGGGAAGAGCAGTAAATGCATACCTCTCACATATGTCTGAGTGGCTGTCTTCAGATGTCTCGACCCGGTCCGGGACTTGTCCTTCGACCTCAGACTCTGTAAAGACCCGTCGTTTGTGGGGAAAGGCATGCAAGCAATGCCAGGAGTTGAAAATAGCGTGTCGAGGCCGCTATCCGTGTAACAGGTAGGTCGACATGTAGACGGTCACGAAGACACGCGCCGATGGTTTCTTATCCACACCTGATCCAAATGGGCGCACCCTGCATGCAGGTGTTTTGAAACATACTCGCGATGCCTACAACGGAGAAAATCCACAACCACGCCCAGAAGAAGAAGGAAAGCTATGGATACAAACACTGACGTGTTGACCGTCGAAGACGATTGGTGGATTTTGGGACTGTTGGGCTCGAAGCCCCATCTAGACGAAGTCTTCAAGCATATGGATACAAAAGCAATCGCGGATATCATGTCCACAGGTAAGCGATAGTGAGTCATTTGGGTGCTACCGATCGTTTTCTGCTGGTCCATTTGATGTCGAAGTACAGAATGAATGCAGCATGGTGAGGGTGCCCCTTTCCCCCTTCATGTTATAGTAGAAGCCTTAGACAGACAAGGTCAGGATGATTACGTCTCTGAGCGTGGTCCATTCATACTGTCCGCATACGAGTCACGTCCCATTACGATTCCCACACTGATGGCCAGGTTTCCAGGAAATGCACCGAGAGATGCATGTCATATGCACCAAAGCCATGGCTTATCTCCGGGGATGGAAGATTTTGAGTCGTGGAGCCGGTGTCGACGTTACCCATGGTCTGTACCAGGTCATTGCGTCCACATTGGGGATGGTGTTGGAGGAGGGCTTTAGGAATGAGGACGCACATGAGCACGTTGCGTTGGTGCAGGGGCTAAGCAAGGACCTGCAGAAGAGCGAGGTCTTCAGAAGAGAGGACGACCAGACGCGAGCCATGTATATGCACTATTACAGACCGGAAGATGGAAGCCTGGTGGGTGCGACCAATGCGCGTATGGAAGAGCTCTTTGGCGAGGTGGTGTTCTCGGTGGCGGGTCAGGTTCAGCTCCAAACGGAGTGGTCCTTGTTGTTCGCAGCGTACGTTGTGGGTAACGGGGGGTGGGGGAGGGCGCTGAAGGATGCACTGCGGTTGATGTACACGTGGATGATGTGAAAAGCATGCATGCTCTACATGTTGTGATCTGTGCGTATCGATATTAGTGCGCAGAGCGTGTGCTCGTTTCTTACACGTAGACATGTATGCTTATGATCACACCTGTGCTTGATTTACCGTCTACAAGTGACTTGAATCACAGGAAGTATCTCACTTCTCACCCTTTGTGTGGCTTTTTGTCTTTCTTTGTCCAGCTTGGTAGCCCCCGATGACCGACCAATGTGGGTCCGTACGGTCTTGCAGCACATGTTCAGGAGCAAGGATGGGAATCAGGACAGTAGGACGCAAGCCGAAGGGGAGACTGTCGATGCGAAAAAGGCCACATGCATTATCAAGGCCATGAATGGCCAAGGCGACATAGGCTTGTATATGGTGGAGAGCTCCAGGATTGTCGCCCCCAGGATAACGACAAGGATGGAGAAGAAGAAAGGAGACAAAGGGGAAAATAACGGGATGTGCTCCGATGGAATCGAGCAGAGGGGTGGAAAATTGCAAGCTGCTGGCTGGCACGGCAGAGAGGACTGTAGCGATGGAGATGAAGCTCAACTGTGCGAATTATTTGTACTAAAGCTGGAGCCATGTCCATGTTCGCGTCACATTTTACGGGAAACAAATCATGGAAAACGTTTGAGGCCAAGCTCCTCGTTGTCCTCAGACTGGGTCAATAAGGAAAGGGGATCTCAAAGGGAAGGGGAAGGAGTGGAGGAAGGTGGAGGTGCAGAAGATGGAAGAGAGGGGAGGAGGTTCGGAGGAATAGACAGAGATCCAGAAGAGGCAATCGAGGGAGCAAGAGAAAGGGAGGATGTTGGCTTGGGCGCATTTTCTTCGCCCATGCTCTCCTCCCTTTCTGCTGTAGTTCCTTCAACCCTTCAGGATGTCAAGCGCTGGTGGACTTCGATGCCCGCGGCGGTCCGACCATCGAATATTTTTGGAATGAGCGACAGGCAGTCGAAAATTTTGCAAAATTGGCAACTTCAACAACAGGAAGAATCGCGCCGGGTGACGGCAGAGGCCCAGGAGGGAGGAGGACAGGAGCACGGGGAAGAGACGACCGACAGCGTAGAGGGAGGAGCCAGATTACTTGCACAGGACTGGACGCAGGAGGCGGAAGCAGAGGTTTTCCCCCCATCGGTGGGTGAGGGGGAAGGCAATGATCTTGTATAAAAGGCTGGAGAGATTTGACGAAGAAGTTGTTGCGGAAACTGGAGAAGCCTGTATTGGGAGCGAAGAAGCGTGCAAATTATGTAATGCTCGGGACAGATTTGGATACTTTGTGTAATGTTTGGTGTCTGGCTGCCTGCTCGAAAAGGATGGATGAGGAAGCAGAACGAGAGTTGACAATACTTGATTGTACCCTAGACGGCGGAAGTTTGAGGATACAAGAGGAGCGTGGCGGAGAATAAACGATCGAGAAGAATATCGAATGAGACCGCATTGAAGTGAGAGCTGAGATGTCAACGAGCTTGATTCGACGAATGTGCCGCAGACCGGAGACAAAACTAGCAGAGAGGGCAACGGGAAGGAAGGTGCGCAGAAAGAATATACAAGGAATGGCGTCAGCTGAAATAAATTGCGGCAGCAAACCGCAAAAAGAGGAAAATCAAGCGGATAAAAAGGGCATATCATGACCAGACATGTCGGAAGCGGTTGTTCTGCCATTGCCGAACATATTGGACACGGTGGGGCTCATTTTGCCGTCGAGTGAAATCTGGCTTTGGCAAAATAATTATCTTGGGATGAGACGACCGATAAAATTTGGGCCTGGAATGACAGCGAGTCCGAGGAATATAGAAGGAAAGCTGAGGAACAATTTTTGAAAATATGATATATGGCCATGAGCACGCACGGACGGGCGCGAATGAGAAGGATAAAGTTTTTACAATCATTAAAGTACAGAGCGACATAAATCTTTCGGAATGACTTCGTGGGGGTTTCTACCATGGAGTGACTGGAAATCAAAGGAAAATAGAAGAGGCTGGATGAAATACTCAACATGGCCATGACGTACGGCATCCGCAGCTTCATAGTGCGACAGGCAGAATGAAGAATTTGGACAAAAATCTTAAAAATTAACAACCACCGGATACCTTTTAGATGTATTTCTTTCATGACAATGATCCTCCTATGAGATGGGGCTCTCTTTCCCTCCATATTAAAACCACCCTCTCCCTCTTCCATTCTCGCCAAACGCGGGATGTACCACATGCAATGCCCCGCCGCTCGGCCTGAGTATGCCTCTCAAATTCCCGGTTTCCCGTGGGCCAGGCTGCGGATGGCCGTCCTCAAAACTCGCTTCACTAAAAGCGGTCACGGTCCACCACGAGTCTCCACCGCACTGTACATCACCATTTCTGCCATGTCGAATTCACGCGTGCTGGTTTTCTTCGTCGGCTTTCTTTATCCCTTTCCACCATACAGGAGGTTAGTAACATTCGCTCCATACCGCCTCCTCTTTCTCCTCACAACAAACTCCGCAACACGGGGCCCGACAGATCTAGTCCCTCAACGCCCCCACCCTCTCTCCCTTCCTCCTGCACCGCCTCCGTCCCCTCTTCATAGGACGATTGAGCACCTTCTTTCGGGTCACCTGAGGAAAAGAAAGGATGGTACAAATCCGCCTGAGAAGGGAAGAGACCGTCCCCCTCTTCCGCTCGATTTCCCTCCTTGTCTCCTGCCCTATTTCTATCACGTTCTCGAGCCGCTACAGGCATGGTGCCAGTCATAGCCGCGGGAGAAGGAAGCGACGAAGGGGTCAGCCTTCCCCCTTCCATCGAGAGGGAGGACGGGAGGGAGGTAGGGAGAGAGGGCGGTTCGAAGGCCACCGCGAGGACGTCGGTGATATTCCCGGCCAGGGTGAAAGTGAGGTCTTGACGCACGGATGAGGGAAGGTCTTGTAGATCTTTGGCGTTGCGTAGAGGGAGACAGACGTGGCGAATACCGCCCCGGTGGGCCGCTAAGAGCTTTTCCTTGAAGCAAGAGCAAAAGGTCGAGAGAATAAAGAAGTGTACTGCCAGAAAGGGAGGAAAGTAGCAAGGAAAAGCGAGGGGGGGAACGGAGAGCACCACGGGGTGGTGTCGGACGCACCTTGATACCGCCGACGGGCAGCACCAGTCCGCGCAGAGTCATTTCACCTGCGTGACCAAACACAAGATCGATATGAGCATATACCCACATGTTCAGCGAGCGAGAGTCATAAAACCCACAAAAACATGGGACGTCCAGGAAGGGTACTGCTCCTCGGTATAGAGGAATGCTGCTCCTCGGTATAGAGGATCTCACTCTCGAGCACAACGGACAAAGATATTCAAGAACTGCCGTAGGAAACAGACATTCCAGACATGCCCCTCTCATTTTGTCTCCCTCACCCCTCCCCCCTCTCTTCCTTCCCCTTGTCCTTACCGGTCATCGCGATCGTAGGCTTCACTTTGCGGCCGGTGACAAGGGAGGCCAAGGCCACTGCCATGGCCACACCGGCGGAAGGGCCGTCCTAAGGGGAGGAGAGCCGCGAGGGAGCGAGAAAGGATGGGAAGGATGGATGTAAAAGCCAGGAACTACAGCCTTCTGCTACGTCACATGCATCGGCCCCACCGCTCGTGGCCCTCTTCCCCCTGAACGTCAAGAAAGTACCCTCCCTCCCTCTCGCCCCCCCAACCTTGGGTATCGCCCCCGCGGGAACGTGAAGGTGTATGTCCGTGGTGGGTGTGAGTGGGAGAAGAACTGGACCGACCCAGGATTCGATCTCGCTCCTCGGAGAGGGAGTCCTAGAGGAGGTGGAGGGGGGCGGGGTGGGCGGGGGGGAGGGCAGCTTGGACTTGAGCCAGGACAGGGCGATCGCCGCCGACTCTTTCATAACCTGCAGGGAAAAAGGAGGAAAGAGGGCGCCGTGAGAAGGGCTAGGTGAGTGTGCAGCTCTACAAATAAACACTACCTCCGGAGAAGATCTGTCCTACGCCGCTCAACCTCTCGGACTCCTTCCCTTCTTCACACTCCTTCCCTTTTTCCCCCCTAGAACCCTCTGCTCCCTCCAACTCATTCCAGTGGCTATAACTGTCATAGCTTGTCACGAAATTCGATCTCCACCCCCTATTTTCTTCCTTCCCTCTTCCTCCCACCCTCCTTCCCTCCCAGGGCTCCTACCTCGCCGAGCTTGCCCGTGATGGTCAGAGTCCCCCTCCCGCCTTGCACCAGGGAGCATTCGATAAAAAGAAGCTCTCCACCCGTCGTCTGTTGCCATGGATGTGTTTCAAAAGCAGGGGGGTATAAAGTACTTGATAGCTTCATCATAAGAGGCAATCTAGGTCCTCTAACTCCTCCGTCATTCCTGACACGTGCCCACACAGCAATTGAGCCCTCCTCCTCCCTCCCCACCCCCCTCTCTCGTCCCCTTATTTTTTGGCTCTAACCTCTTCTACCGACAACACGCTTCTCACATCGGCCTCCCTCTCGGACATTCCCCGCTTCCCCGCCCTCCCTCCTCCTCAACCCCCCTTCTCCCTCACCTTCCAGGCCAAGCCCGTCACCACTCCTGGCACCGACACACGCGTCGCACCCTCGCTTTCATACCGCACGGGCCCCAGGATCTCCTCTGCGGGGAAAGGGGGACAAAGAGAGAGGGATAAGGTACCGCCTAGACGTGTTGTCTGCGAGAAGCACGGGCAGGAATAGGCAGGGGGGGAGGGCGGGAGCGAGGGGGGAGGGAGGCGAGACTTACCCAGAACGTCCTCCGTTACCACCACCTGTTCAAAGGGCTCCCGGGTCAAGACACCTTCGACCCCTTCTTCCAGCCCTTCCTCCCTCCCATGTTCGCCCTCCCCCATTTCTCCACCCCCGCCTCCCTCCTGCATCCCTTCCTCTTCCTCCCCCTCCCTTCCCCCCTCCACTTGGACGGCAGGAGAGGAGTGAGAGGCCACTTGCATGGCCACGTGACGACAGACCGCAGCCAGCTCTCGTTCAATCTGAGGGAGAGAGAGGACAATGGAGGTAAGGCCGACATGTGCGGGAGAGTCATGGGAAGGAAGAAAGGGAGGGAAGGAGGGAGGGAAGGAGGGAGGGAGGGAGGAAGGCGGACGTGCCTGTCTAACGCCGGCTTCCCGCGTATAGCCCGTGGCAATCGATTGCACCGCTCTGGATAAAAAAAGCGAGGCAGGTTGAGCGTCATACCACGTCTCTTTTTTGCCTTTCTCTGTCCTTCTCCTTCTTCCCTACCGAGGAGTGACGATTACGTGCTCGGGACTTAGACCGTTCGCTGCCAGCTGCTTCGGGATGAGGTACTGCTCTGCAATAAAAACCTTGAGGATCGGGAAGAAGGGAGGATTGAAGTGGATGGGAAGGTGTAGAAAAGCGAGCAAGCCAGCAACGCGGGACGCACCTTCTCCTCGATTGTGTAGCCTGGGAGATTGATGACCTCCATACGGTCCAAGAGGGGCTCGGGGATGGTGTCCGTTTGGTTGGCCTGACAGCGGGAAGGAGAGAGGGGGTAGAATAAGAGGGCAGCCGATGGAAGGTGAGGCAAGGCATGACAACGTCTGTTCGGTGGGCCGGGAGGGAGAAACAGAGCAAGAACGAGAGGGAGGACTAGGGGAAGTCAGGAAAAGCATACCGTGGCAAGAAAAAAGACGCGGGAGAGATCATAAGGTAGGTTCAAGTAGTGATCTGTGAAGGTGCTGTTCTGCTCGGGGTCCAAAACCTGAGAGGGCAAAAATAAAAGCATTGTCAGAGAGGAAGAGGGAGGAAGGAGGGAAAGAGGTCGGGCGGGAAGGACGGAGGAGGACGGGCTCACCTCCAACATGGCGGCAGAGGGATCCCCTCCTCGGATCGACGACCCCAATTTGTCAACTTCGTCCAAAAGAAATAGAGGATCCGGCGTTCCTGTACCACGTGGCATGTTTGTCACATTTGACGCCTAATTTCTCCACGGCTTTTCATCCATTCCCCCCGAGTCCCCTTCCCGGCCCTTCCCTTCTGCCCTCCCCCTCCCCCTCCCTTCCCCACTCTTCGCACCCACCTGCTTTTTTCATACACTGCAAGATATTTCCCGGTAAGGCGCCGATGTAGGTCCTCCTGTGCCCGCGAATCTCTGCCTCGTCGTGGACGCCGCCAAGGGAAAGACTAAGGGAAAGTTTCCAACGGAGGGAGGAAGGGAGGAAGCGAAGGAGGACGAGTCAGTATTCCTCGTCAGTAGTGTACAATCCATGTGCGGACGACACGGAGCATGGCTGAGCTTCCATACTTCCCATTCAATGTTTGTAAAATCATGTCAGCTTTGCATCTAAAGCAGACGATAAATTGGCAAAAGGAGCAATGGAAAATACCGGCAGCTGCGGTACAGATTCCCAATTTGCTACCCTGTCCACCCTTGAAGGAAACAATCCTTGTGCAACAACGCTCATCGCACTTTTGATTCCCTACTCGACCCCTCCAACCCTCCCTCCTCCCTCTCTCCCTCCCTTCCACCCTACCGCTGGAACCGACGACCGAGGGCGGTGGCAATGGAGCGACCCAGAGACGTCTTCCCCACTCCCGGTGGGCCGACCAAGCAGAGGATGGGCCCTTCGATGGATTGGAAGGGTCAAGAAAAGGACGACAGTGAGGGATCAAGGAAGACCTTGCGGGGTGGATCGAACGGCAGGGCAGGGGCAGAGACAGAGCGACAGGCGGGACCCGGTACCTTTCAGAGAGCGTGTGAGCGAGCGCACGGCAATGTACTCCAAGATGCGACGCTTGACCTGCTCGATGCGTAGCGCGTGAAGCGTGTGTTATCATGTTGAAACAGAGGGCGCCGATGACAGCGAACACCAGCACCCAAATTATCATCTCTCATCTTTTCCATCGGCATCCAGTCCATAGCATGCGAACTAGAGCCAGTTTTCACTCCCCCCCCCCCCTCCCTT